AGATTGACAAAATTGATGTAGTTGATGATTATAACTGGTTGATAGTTATAACTCGGGTTAAAGGTTATAACTTAGGTTGAAGGTTATAACTCAGGTTGATAGTTATAACTACGGTTGATAGTTACAACTCAATTAACTTTTTGGCCAAAAAGTCGATCGGTTATAACCCAAAAAGTTATAACCCGAGTTATAACTACCCTAGTTTTAGGTCCCACACTGGTTAATATACCTGCTTCGTAACACATTTTAATTCCTAGAGATGATATTTTGGAGAAATTTTTGATGTACATTATTAAGAGGAAAAATTGCAGTTAAAATTGTGATTCTTTTTTATTTTACTAAATTTGTTTTTTTACTTTTTTAAAGTAAAATAAAGTTAAAAATGTATTCCCAGATGAATTGAAAGTGACGGTTATGGAACTACAGCATCTCATTTTCTTGAAAAATATCTTCAATTTCATTCTGCGCGAGAGAACTTTTTATTTGTAATAACAACAACAAATAACGTGGTAGATGCCAATGTGAAAGTATTGGATCCTTCTCTCACATGCACACCAAAATAGAAGTTATGGAATTGTGTAAGAGAACGGAAAAAAACTGTTAAAATGGCACATTTTTAGATAATCGTAACAGAACAACAATTTTGACGAGAAAAAAAATGTACTTTCTATTTTCTCTTCTGCGATGACGTTTTTACCGTCTTCATGCGTTAATATATGTGTTTCTCCGACTACGAATAGTGCGTTATTCACTTCTGTTTGTTACTTTACTAAAAAAAAGTAAAGGCATGTTATTTTTCTTTCGTTCCTACGTCTTATGTTATGATGTACTTTTACAAATGTAACTCCATTTATACAAATCAACAGAAACTATTCATGGCTGTTAGACGTCATCACTGACATCTAACGAACATTATGCTGCATGCAACGATCAAATGTAACAAAACAGTCTACAATTCAGTCAGACAAAATCGGTCAAAGAACGCGTAAAAACGCATTTTTTTATCAAATTTTGTCTGGCTGGGTATTGTATCTTATGCAAATTGATCCAAATACTTTGGTTGTATACTGATAACATCACATAAATCTTTTCTTTTCAGAATATCGATTACTCAAACAAAGATGGGATGTGGCGCTAGTAATTCTAATGTTATATTTAATTTCGATCGAGCAAAACCGATGTTTGCTGCGGGTGAAATTATATCAGGAACTGTTCAACTAAATGTAAAGGACGATAGCTTAAAAGTCAATGAAATCGATTTGCAATTGATTGGCGCAACTGGTTACAGTACAAGATCGACAGACGGTAACCAACACAGCCGGACTAATTATCATTATGTCCGATTTTTTGCGACACAATATGTTTTCGCACTTCCGAACGGTGGAGAAAGAGAACTGACATATAGTAACGGTCAATATTCATGGCCATTTCAAATTCAGCTGCCCGATCAAATTCCACCAACTATGAATCTACCTCGACTCTATCCACATGTTCGATATTATCTGCAACTAGCCATCGATAAAGGAGGACATAAGCGAAAGATAGGAGAAGAAAAATATATAACGGTGTTTCCACGTGTGAGTCTATCACAACAAGTACCAAATTATATGACGGCAACCATGTTCGGTAATCATAATCGAAAAGACATTACAGTCAAGGGAACACTTAACAAAATGGGATATGTACCAGGTGAGATGATTCAGGGAACACTAGAAATTGAAAATCCAAACCAAATTTTAATTAAGCAAATTGATCTTTCAGTCAACGGAACCTATAACATTCAAATGCAGGAAGCACATTTTAAAGTGAACACTGGCACAGTACAAGGAATAGCTCAGCGAAAAGGAGAACGAATAGTTGAAAAATTTGAGATTATGATTCCTGATAAAACCCTATCTCCTTCTTATCAATTTCGAGGTGGACAAAACAATTCAGCTGCTGCGACTTGTAGCTATATGTTGAAGTTCGAAATTAAAGCTGCAGGTGTCTTTACAAATTTCGAAATTCTTGTACCATTTATTTTGGGAACTCAACCATAACTACATCCAATTCAAAAATGAACACGTTTCGAAATGAAGACTCTCCATTGATTTACATTTTTTTTTGTTCAATATACTTTTCGTGATACTCTTTTTTATTTGTTTATAATAAAAATACGCCATATGCATGTGAAAACGTAGCAACACTGATAAATCATAAATATTCCTTATTAAACTGCTGTATTTCATTTTCTCAAAATATATTTTGAACTTGATTCTACATTAGAGAAGTTTGTATGTGATGTTAGGTAGTAGCGTTACGTCTAGCCCGCTACCTTTCGTTTCTTTGCCACTCGTCGATATTTTTAGAAGTAGTTTTTGTTTATATTTTGAATCAGATTGAAGAGAATAAAGTAAGAGTTTAGTTCACAAACTTAGTATGTGTGTGACAACAATAATAACGGTGATGTGCTTGGATGGGAAAGGATCACATTCTTCTCTTACGTGTACATTTGTCCTGTTTAAATCCGCATTCACACTTACACCTTCTCTACATCCAATTTTAGAATATTTAATGGATTGTTTTGACCGTATATATATTGGAAGACATTTGTATGAATTTTTATCCAAAGTCTTCAAAAAAAAGAAAACTACATTCATTTTCAAATAATCAGATTTAAAGGTCTAGCAAAAAATTTGTAATTGAATTTAACTCTATTCTATTCTAATTGTTGTTGTCGTTTTTGTTATAAAATATATATTATTCTCTTACTCACTCTTTGCATATGACCCACTTTTTATTCGACTAATTAGCGTAGACGCCACACATACACTATACGTTTAATGATCGATAATAACTTATAAGAAATAAAAAGACCATTCTATTTTTTTACATATAAACATTACAAATGAGTTTGCGTGTCTTTTCTTGAGAATAAATTACATCTATAAAAGATAATGAGAAGAAATATTATTAAAATATGTAATTGAAATCGATAGTACAGAAACAACAACAATTATTTTTATACGTTCTTATTCATCCGAAACGAGCATTTCGTAGGCGGTTTGCGCATCTGTAGCAACAAGCTACTAATAAGATAAGAGAATAGTAATTATATACATTTATTCATCATTGAAAAACGACGTTTACATCCATTCTTGTGCAACCATTTAATTAGAGAAAGGTATGAAATAATCAAAATATTTTTCCGAGTTTTTTTTGCGACGGAACGAAAGAGAGAATAATATAAGCACAATGGCATCTATTGTAGATTTATTCGAATTCTTATAGTCATATACTCATTAATATATTGTTTTTGAATGATTTCTATTATTAGAAAAATAGTTTATCTGACACAGCGCAGAATACCTTATAAGAAAAAACATCTATATTTTTAAGTAAGGCTCTATATAAATATGAATTATTTCGGAGAAGGAAGATAATATGCGTAATATTTTGAGAATTATTTAGATAGGATATGGGTGAGATAGATATAATATATTTACACATACCCTCATACATCATTGGAAGTAACGCTGCGCTTGCTATATCGAGTATATATTTTCTAAATTTTTTTTATTAAGATCATCTATTTTTCTGACTTACTGATCAAGTATAAAACGATACCTATGGTTACTGATCAAAAAGAAATACAAGTTAACAGCAATGATAGTCTTAATGATGAACAAAGACTACAATATGAAGATACTAAACAAGATTTACCATCTATATACGATATACATACTAAATTCAAAAAGAATGTAATACTGTTCATTGTTAGTGGTTTAGGATTCTTATCAAATTTCGATGAACTAGTTTATATTCCTGCATTATCCATGGTAATTCAGGATCTACATACAACAGAAACATTAAGTTTATCAACAATCACTGTATATGTACTTGGAAGCTGTTTTGGCGGACTTATTTGGGGAATGTTAAGTGATTGTTATGGACGTAGATCAATCATGTTACTTGCACTTTGTGGATTTGTACTATCTGTGGTTGGTTCTTACTTTTCATCAAATATACATATATTTTTGGTAGCTCGTGTATTACAAGGAGCTTTCATCTGTGTCACAACAACTGTTGGTCAAGCAACAATTGCTGATATATATCAACCAAGTGAACGTGGACGAGCTATTGCTTTCTTCTATGCATTTTATTTCATGGCATCAATAGTTGGCCCAATCATTGGTGGACCATTGTCTTATCATTTTGGTTGGAGATCAACATTCATTGTAGTAGAAATTCTTGCAATTATTTTATTTATTCTTTATGTCTTATTCGTACCTGAAACACAACAGTATATAATTGTATGCAATTGCCATAAAATGGGAACAAAACTACTTGAGTATGACTTACTTGTGAAGCCAAAACTACAAAATCCATGTTTAGCATTGAGATACTTAAAAGAGACAACAACTCTACCGTATATCTTTGTTTTAGCACTAGGATTTATGTCAATGAATGTTGCACAGCTTTCTCTTTCTATTCAAGTATCGAAAGCACCTTATCATTACAAATCAAACGTAATCGGTATATTATATCTTCCATTGGCGATTGCAAAGTTTCTAGGTAGTATCATCGGTGGTATTCTATCTGATTATGCAGCAATTAGGTATATGACAACATTCAGAATTGATGAAGGACATGTTGTACCTGCATTACTATTTTCTGTTCTAACACCTATCGGTCTAATCATTTATGGATGGTCATTTCAGTATGGTATGCATGTATCATTACCACTCATTGGATTAATTATTTGTTCTTTTGGTCAAACAGGTACTCGACCTGGTATTTATTCATTCTATACCATTAAATATCAACAATATTCAGCTAGTGTGATAGCAGCAAATAATTTTGTACAACTATTACTAACATCGATTATGCTAGCATTTACAGCAATAATTGTAGAATCGATTGGTAATGGAGTATATTTTACAACTATAGCTATGGGTAATATATTGGCAACAATCGTACCAGTGATAATTATTTCACGAAAAATCAGATTATCATCTAATATTTGTGAAAAGATGCCTAGTCAAAGTACTCCTCTGATAGGTACTGATGCTAAACAATATCATGAATAATCATGAGTTTATCTTTGAGATCAATATCTTCACGCATTGGAGCAATTCAGCAAGCTGAAAGATTCGAAATCGAGACATATTTAAAATTTAGTCTTTCACATTTAATTTCACTTGCATATCGTAATTTTATTAGCAATAAAATTTTGAAAAATTAAAATAAAAATACAATAAAATTTGTAAACTTTACGATATAGTAAACATAAATCGGCACTGTAGTTGTTTGTATCCAGTCGATTTCTAAATCTTTGCTTATTACTATTCTCTCCTTGACTTCTGAATTTGAATATAGTTCATTATCATCAATTAGCAAAACTCTATTAAAAATTATTTAGCAAGCATAATCATTGACTATTATTTTGACTATCGATTACTTATAAGTACAGGAAATATTCATTAGCAATAAGGGTAAGGGATAGTTGTGTATGTATAATAATGCACTTATTATAATGATACTGATAAATATGAGATCTAACTAAATACAAAAATACATGAATTATTAGATTTTATTCTTCGTGTATTGTAGTATCAAAAATAAGTCTATATACAGATATTTTTCATTTGCTTTTATTCAATCATTTAGAAACATTTGATTCATTTTTAGACATTTTTCACGAATATAAATACTTTTTTTCAGTAAATGAAATGTCAGAAAAGCAAGTATTATAGGTGATCTTGTCATAGATAAATTATTTTGTATAAGTAATCAGCTGGTTTTTGAAGAGAAAATGCTTAGTTAAGTTTCTCTTAAAAGACGATTTGTTAACATATAATTTTCATTTACGCATACAATAAATCGAGACAACGAAAAGAGAGAGAAAAAGAAATATTACAATTTACATACGAGAGAATGGTGTGAAGAAGAAAACGTTGACCATGCATATTTACAAATAATCGTATGGACGTTACGTGAAAGAAAGAAAAAACAGAAAACATTAGTGTATTTCATTAGATGATGACTTCATTTGCTGAATAATATCTTATTTTACCAGTCTCTTTCTTTCTCATTTTTCTTGCCATTCTACACATAAAACATTCTTTCCTCATGACCAGATTCCTTCTATTTCAGATTAATCTTTACTTTTTTTTCATTGGATGATTTCTTAAAACGATTCTTATCAACAAGAACAACAGTAGGATTTTTTTTCTTTGAAAAATAATTGAAGAAATTTTCTTTTATTCAGATCGATCAATTAGAACAAATGAAAGATGATATGGAACAAAAATTAAGATTATCGAATGATGATTCTGATTTTGCTGATCAATATAAAATATTAAAAGATATTGTAGATTACATGCACAAAAAACAACATGTGATTATAAATACAGTAGTTACATCAGGTGCTATTACTAATGTTGGATATACGGTAAATCTTGATTAATTCATTTTGTGTATATCAATTTATCTCAGGTCGAATATTGTCGATCGTAAACGACCGTATACGAACAGTATACGAATGTCGTGCCGTATTCCGTCGTACTTTAGCGTATTACCTGTCTCAGTATTACAACCGTATTTTTACGATAGAATACGACGATTCCAGGGTATGAAAATCGGACCATTTCTCATCATCGTAGTTAATTAGCTTCAACTGATCTTGGGGGTGTGGGTGTGGGTGTGGGTGTGGGTATAGGTATGAGTATTGTAACAATTCGACGCCTACATCCACACCTAGATCATTTGCATTTTGTTTATGTTTTTTAGTTGTTGTTATTCGTATGAATATATTATTTAAAAAAGAATACGATGAAAATATTGAAATATTATGATAGATTTAATCTTTTTTTTTTGATAAAATTGATCAATAATGAAATAAAATCCGTCATGTATGTGAAAGTTTAATTGAAAATGAAAATAGGTGAAGAAATAATTGTCAAAATATTTATTTTTCTATTTAAATTGATAATAATATTTTCTAAGATTTTTGTGAAGCTGAAATAAGTGCACGTTGTTGTTCTACTAATTCCAATAACATATCCATTTCTTGTTTTTGTTTTTCCATAGCATCTTGTAATTGTTGAATAATTGCATTTTGAAGTTGTGTTTGTTGTTCTTGTTTTTCTAAAATATCTTCAAGTTGTTGAATAGATTTATTTTTTTCTTGAATATCTTCTTCTTGTTTTTTAATTACAGATTTTAATTCAATAATTTCATTTGGTGTTTGTGTTGTATCCGATACCTTCGAATTTAATTTTTTTCGTTCAATTAATAGTTGAAGCTTTTTCTTCTCACCATATGATATATTTAAATTTTCATAATCATTTTCATTGAAATTTATTAAATCAAGACCAGAAACACGATGAGTACGTAAGTTTTCAGCTAATGATTGTATATTTGGATCAAGTCGTAGTAAATATTCATATAAACCATCAATTGTTAATTGATCAAATGTTTCAATTGTTCGTGTAGGAGGTGATTTAACAGATAAATTTGACATATATCGTGATAAATATGTATCTCCAAGTTGATCCAATTGATCTGAATGTTGTCTTGAGAAAAATGTATCACGATTAACTATTGATGAATATTCAATACGTAACATCATATGTGATGATAAATGATTTAAAGTTTGTTTTTTATTATTATAACATGTCAAACATAAGTTATAATTTGAACAGATTTGACATTTATAACGAACATTTGAAAAATCATATGTATAACAACCATTGCAAGAAATATCTTTTTCAAAAAAAAATAAACAAACATTCACATCTTTACTGTGTATATTTAAAAATGAAACTTACTAGATTGTGTCGACATAATAATATTCGTTTTTTGAATATGATGAATAACGTCGAAAAGATCGAATGAGTATGCTTTATTAAGCGACAAACATTGTTTTGTTGGAAATAAACATTTATTTTTTGTATCCTTGATGTATGCAAAGATATATATTCGTCGTTAGAGAAAGAAAAAAAAATATATGGTTTGATTCATAGAACAGAAAAGAAAAAGAATCGATCAATACGTGAAGTGTGTTGTTTTGTTTGATTAGTATTCAACTAGAAAATTCTTCAGATTATAATAATACTCTTTATGAAATATATACATTATGTATAGTTAACTATTTATTATGAAGATTTTTATTTAAAAAACGTTATAATAATAGCGTGGCTGTCATATAATTAAATAAACATTTTAAAATCACATCTGTCGTCACCATAAGAAAAATTTCTATTTACTGATAGAAACAATACAGGGGTACATTTTTCTTCAAAATAGTTTAATTTAAAACAATTTTGTCGCGTACAGTATTTGGAGAAAAAAAATGCACTTGTATAATCTCTATCAATCTTTTATAATTAAAATTTTTCGATCTATAACTGTTGCTGCAATGCAATAATCACGAGTTAAATCGGTAACAAATGTATATATGTCGGATTTTCTACTTTCAATTCATCATTTAATGATATCATATGAAGTTTTTTATTATCAGAATGGAGAACTGTATCTCTCCTTTTACTATATAGATAATATTTTCATTTAGAGAATTATGCTTCAAAATTGTTTGGAATACAATGCATAAACAATAAACCTTATTCTGCTCGATATTTTGTTATAATTAACATTGTCGATAAATGAAATATAATAACTTCAACAGTATTTTTGATGATCTTTTTTTTTTACTATCGATTAGAAAAATTTTATAATCAATTTTGAACGTAAAGATGCGACAGAATAAAGAAGGTACATTAGTTTTTATCCACCTATATACATTCGGATGTTTTGAGGTATCATTGTACTATTTCGAATAAGAATATGTCAAATAATCCGGAAAATGAAAATCCGGACAGAAATAATCCGGGAAAGAAATAAAACATGTTTGTGAACATGAAAATCTCATACCTGATATCCGCTCAGCGGGATAGTATGACAACAGAGCAAAAAAAAGAAATAACCAGATGAGGAATCGAACCTTGAACGTATCGTGTCCAGACTCACCCACGCCCACACCTACACCTTCGCTTGCTTGGAAGCCGTAGAAGTCGTCTTTCGACAACAATCTCTCAAGCTTAAAGCGGGGGCACAACAGAAGAAAGCGCTGAAGACATTGGCCAGGCAGAAACACATCGATAACTTAGGTACTCACTTCTGCAACGGTGACAACGATCGCGCCAAACTTCTCGACGGACTCTCTCTCTCTCTTTTGGTAGCTTCGAAGAAATAAACTTCTTATCAAATTGTCTCTCATATCTTCATTATTTCTACTTGTTATGTCTTCTATGATTATTACACTACGAATAAAATTTTCCTTGATTTTTCACTCTTCAGATTTTTCTTTTTCCGGATTTCTTGGCAACACCTCGAATAATATATCTAGATTGAGTATTGTAGTATATAATACCTATGAAAATAAACAGTTTATATGTAGTAAGCTTTTTATTTTGAAGAAAAAACAATGAAATAATATTTTTCGATATCATTGTCAATGATTAATTATGATACTATGTAGTTCTATGTATCTATTAAATTTCATATTTATTCAAGATTAAAATATAAATTAAACAAATTAAATCTACCACCATATATACAATGTTCGATTTATAACTTTAAAAACATAATTACGAGGAAGTTTTTTCGATTTAATAATACTTTTCAATAATATCATCCAATCATGACGTTGTTTGGAAATATGTAATAAAGATAAATAACGTGTATTATTATTCAATTTTGAAAATAAATATTTAACTATAGGTCTTAAGTCTTCTTTGAATAAATTAATTGTCAAATGTTCTATTCGAGGAAAAGCAACAGTTAATAATTGAATTTTTTCTACTGTTATTTCTTTCATAATTGTTACATTTGTTATAAGATTTATTTTTGATACCAATTGAGTTAATTCATGGTTTTGAATTAAAATTGGATCAGTTCGAAATAATACGATAGAATCAAGTTCTAATGTATGAATATTCAGTGTAAATTGTAAAAGTTCAATTAATTGTTCGAAAGTAAAACGATGACATTTAATAGATAATTTTGTAAGTTGTTTCAATGGAAGAAAACGATTTAAATCCACTACAATTGAGTCGACACGAGGTACTTCAAAATCTTCACAAAACGTTAGTTCAGTTGCATTTGGAAATTTATCATAACATTGTTTTATTATATCTGTTGTATGAAGACAAATATGATGAATTGGATCTTCATTTATATCATGACAAGTTAAATAAATATTATCAATTAATTCATCATACAACACATAATCTTTTTTCCTATGAATTAAAGAAATCAAAACGATAAATATAAGATAAGAAATTAATTTTACCTGTAAGGATTTCTTGAATAGAAAACGGCTGTAGTCGACCTTTTCGTTTCATGATAATGGTAGTCAAAAAACCATTGATGTTCAATCCAAAATTTTGAATTAAATTTATTAATAAAGTAATCAAATGCTTGACGTTCTTCATTAGAACGAAATCCACGATATGATTGTTGAAAATTAAAGATACGTAAATTTAACATAGAAGTTGAAATTAATTGTTCCCATCGATTAGCATTGAGATATTTTCCTGTATCAAGATCTAAATGAACCGATTGTGTTTTAATATTTAAAACTTGAACTTGATGAAAATAATTTTCGACTAAAATTTCAAATTGTTGAAAAGGAACATTAAAATGGAAGGCAAATTTAAGAGAAACATTTGTTAAATAGTTTAAATTTGTCGAAGTTTTTGATAATTGATCAAATTCTGATTGTACCAATTGATCAATAGATAAACGACGTAATTGTGGAACATAGGTTAATAAAATAAGAAGTTTATCAATTGAAATTCGATGATTAATAATCAACCATTCAATAGTACTAAATTCATTAGTAGCAATAGTAAATTTTTTTGGAATATCTAATAATTCAATGTCTATCTGACAATATTTCAATTTAGGTAATTGAAATAATTTTGAATAAAGATTATTTTTAGTTATAATATTACTAATCGATACGATAGTTAATGAAGATAAAACAGGTAATGAAGATAATTGATTAACAATTGGTTCGATAAAATTAGCTTCGATATTATTTAAAATAAGTGTAGTAAGTTGAGTTAACTTTGTGATTATTGGAAGTAATAATGAACATGGATCAATACATGGATTTGATAATCGAAATAATTCAATTCGAGAAGTACATGGTTTAATTCTATCTGTTAAATAATGGTGAAATTGAGATTTTGATATGGATGAAATATTAATTTTAATTGTAGAATTGGAATTAAGAACAAGTTTTTGAAATCGATAATTAAGATCATAAAAAGCTTGAAATGCATGATGATCGATAAGATATTCAAATATTTCATAAAAAAGTTCATTAGAAAGATCTTCAAGATTGGTAATACGATCAGATAAAGTAATTTCTAGAAAAATAAAAAAAAATAGAATTATATAAAAATGAAATCTAGGATTTTTACTGTTTTGTCGTGGTTTTTTAATATTATTATTATTATAATCAGTAAACGAATTATCTTCTTGTCGTCGTTTATTTCGATTCATTTTACCGAATTTGAAGAGAAATCAAACTGTTGTTGTTATACCGTATAGTAATGAAAAAGAAATGCACCCACAAATCCGTCGAATATAATATTTTTTCGATATATATATAGATAGACAGAACGCGCAAAAGAAAGTTATACATATAGACGTATATGTTCGTCTGAAGTGAATTAAACATATAATTAAAGACAGTTGATTCAGTTCTTGTAAAAAGTAGATCGAAAATTAACTTAGAAGTTTATATAACAGAAATACTGAATATAGAGTTTGTAAAAGATTCACTTTGATATTCAGATCCATGCTTGTTTACGTAATCAATTATCAAAGATAGTTCATAATTTAAAATTACGTTTGAAAAATGTAATCAATATATTGTTAGGTGGTATCATCGTCTTTCGTCATTTCTTTCTTACATCATATATGTATAGTTTCTTTCGTTCTGTTGTTACATATACATATATCATATATAGTGTGATTCATCATCTTCTTCTATATGTGTGTTCTCGTTCTCTTCTATATCGTTCACGGATTTTTCCTTTCGTTATGTTATATGGATTTCTCCTCTCCTATCGTTTACATATGTGATGCTATATGTTATGGGACTTTTCCGCGTCTTGTTCACTTGATCTCTTGATGGACATATCCCTAACAGGGTGTTCCACCATCCTATATATAGCGTGTGTTTTTCTTCGAATAAACGAAGGTATAGGATTCACAACCTCACAATATTTTATATTATACTATCGAAAATATGCTGAGAGAAAGTTATTTTTCCTCATTTGATCTGTTTTGTATATATAAGCATTTAAAAAGATTATTTCTTTATAAACAAAATAGTTTCCTATAATCACTTCGAGGATGGGCGTAGGTCATTAAAGTATCTTCTTCTTTAGATACGACAAGTACGTTCACCTTCTCTATATTCGATCTTTTTTTCTTCATTCTCGTTTGACATGATGCCGGTGTAAAACTAAATTAGCAAGATCATGCACATATTCATAGGTATTTTTTATCACCTTAGGAGACAACGCAAATAAATGACGAAAAAAGAAACAGCTAATGACGTATTCGTTTTTCGATAATACACGGAAACCTCCTTAATATTGAACACCATCGAGACTGGAGAAAAGTGTTCACTATACAGAGTTAATATATAACATAGTCTGAAATGGAGGAAATCTTAGAATATTTGCTTATACCTCAATAGTAAAGAAACACTCAATTATCTATTCTATTGATCAATGATTTCAATAAATTTCGTTTTTCAAAAAAAATCTTCTAATGTTATTTGTCTTGTTGTTTTCGAATCAATATATAGATCTACTAATTTAGATTGCAATAATTATTCTGTCTTTCGCTTCACGATGTTACATACAGTGCCAAGTGAAATACGATACTTTTGAATAAAGTTCGTTCAGATAAACTATTGTTATAATTAAAAATTAATTCTACATTTTGTGCAAAGTTAACTCATGTCTTGATGGATTACGTTATTCGAACGCACAGCGCTCGAATCATTTACAAAATGCATCTACTTTCAGTGCAAATAAAACATATGACAAAAAGTAGAAAAAAAACAAAACACCACATATATATATATATATTCACATTGGAAAGGTGATAATACCACATGAGACCGAAAAAACGTTCACTATTCAGTATAAAGAAATATTCATATTGGAGAGATCCATTTTCAGCAAAAATTGCTCCGGTGGATCTGAGAACGTTCATAAAACGGAGGTATTCATTAAGTGAAGTTTTACTGTAATAATAAAAAATTTCGTCATCATTTATTTTTATTTTTAAATTATAAAGAGTACTTATGATAAAAGCAAAACTTGATAAAAATATGTAAATGTGTATAATGAAACAGTACTACGCACTACGTTACTCTACTTTGTATTTTTATTATTCATTATTTATTATACTCACGAGTTCTTTTTTAAAACATACAAACAAATTTCAACTTGAATTTATGTTTATTGATATATGAGAAAAATCTGTTTCTTTCTAATGAAATTATTGTTAAATGGAAAATAAGTTGAATTCTTCTACTCTCTTTATTAACAAATTTAAAAATAAAGGAGAATAATTTAAAGTATTTGATTATTTATTAGAGATATTTTATTAAATACATATAAAGATCTATAATAAAAAAAAAGTTAAATCCGAACTCCCAGATTTGAACTGGGGACCTATAGGTTTCTATGATATTATGTCCATTACAGCCTACCGCTCTGCCAACTGAGCTAAGTTCGGATATCAAAATAAGACTTTTGAATTAATAATTTTTTTAATGATTAACAAAAATAAACTTTTGATTTGTAAATCTTATCATTTTACACAATCCATCTTAAATTTATTAATTAACATAGAAATCTATTATACCATTCAATTTAATTACGATTAATGAGATTTTCAGCAAGGAAACAAATTATTTTTTTAAGAAAATTGTAGAAAGAACTTCATTTTTTTCAATCAATAATACATCTGTCTATAATAATCAAGCTGTTATTTTATCTGGCCTAGTATTATTATACAATACAATAAATAATTTAAGGATAGGTGTGAAGAAACAGAAGATGTCCTCAAAATTATGCCACAAATACAGATCCACATCCGCATCTTACACTGATATTCTCAATTCTACTAACTTTCATAATCTTCTTATATATTGACATATCCCAATTTGTAATATATACAAACCTTGTCCTTGATTGTATTGTATTAGAATTCATTGATTCAGACTAAAATAATAAGAAAAACAGATTGTTTCGTGTTGTTTTTTTTATTCTCAATGAATTACAAGTATGGATTCTTATTCTGTTGTTGTTCATCATTGATATTTTATGTAAAGTTTTACAATTTTAATATCTACAATCTAATAGAAAAAAAACTATAATTTCTATATTCCTTTCAAATGTTTTCGTTTCTTTTTAAACAAATGATTTTCAAATCTATATTTCGAATAATATCTAGTGACATATCGTGATAACTAATTATAGTCAAATGAAAAAAAAGTTAACTAAAAACGATTAAAATTGAATAGGACTTATTACTATTATCATTATGCAATTGTTAACATCATATAAGAAGTATTTATAGTATCCTATTATGTTCTTTCAAATAATCAATTTTCTTCTGTGAAAAACGAATTGAAATGATACTTAAAGTATGTACAAGAATAGAAAGTTGCTTTCATTCGGTCTCTTTCACACAAATGACGATAATCATTATAGTCAGGGATTATCATAAATTGTAATCTATACATCATCATAGGCCATAATTAACGTTATTAATTGGTATTCTAGCAAGTAATTCATATTTTATGCTAGCAGAATTTGTGCCACCAGTTCACATTTTTATTATTTCTTTACTATAGAATATTTGTAACCAAAAAAAGAAATTGTATATCGATAGAAACGCAATTATTTTGCTTCGTTCTATTTGATTATTTTTCAAAAAAATATGGTCAGATGTGAATTTTGTTAAGAAGAATGAGGAAGTAAACTGTTTCAGACAACATTTACTGTAGTTATTATTAAAAAAATATTAAATATCAACACTTTTTTAAGGAATATGCGACGTTTCTCGAAAAAACTAAAAATTAGACATAATCTTTTGTGCCAAATCCTATAATATTCAAAGATTATTTCATTGAATGCATAAATGATAATGTTAATTATAATTCATCTAGCAGGTAGACTATATTTACAGTAAGGATCTAAATAAAAATTCGATTTAGAGTTAAGATTACGTCATAATGTATATAAAAATTTCTATTTTTGTAGGGAATAATATATTATTTAGTAGTATATTGTGCACGTCAAAAAATGCTCCTGACAGATACAAGAGAAGCAATTATAATTTCTAAGACGAGAATACAAGCAAAATTCTACTACAACTCAACAAAACAATTTGAAAAAATTGAATTTCTCATTTCAGTATGACTTTGAACTAAGACTAAGAAAATATCAAAGTTTAGTTCACAAAAAAATTCCTTACATCATTTATTCATATTTATCTGTTAAAATAATTCTAGTATGTCATATTTTGTGTTCACTTCTTTCATGATATAGTTTAACAGAAACTTTACATTCTACTAAATGATGTATATGATATTCATATTACAATTTATCAAATATTGCTAACAGATGGATACACAGAATTTAAAAAATAATATTCAACAAAGAGAAGTAACAGTTAGTTATTATTTTGGAAAAAAAGAGAAAGCTTTGTAGAGTTATGATCATATCTCTGTTAGAGTTGAATGGATTAAATAACGTAACAGAAAGTACAAAAATACTTTTAGTTGGCAATAGTTTTAGATAAAATTACATGAAAATTAACTAATGTTTAAAAGTATTCTATTATAATTATCAAATATCATATAGAATCAAACAAAAATATACTTCTACCAAAAAATATTATTTTATTCTTCATCCTACTTATCATATGTCATAGAATATAATATTTATTTCTCTTTCAGAAAAACATTGGATTTCCTTTAGAAAATCATGATTTTTGTATCAACAATCACATAAAATATGAAATCAAAAAACGTAGCTTCCGCATCCTACTTAATATATGTTTTGTGTTGATAGAAAATACTAGTTCACATATGGGATTATTTTAGTTAAAACTACTTTTTAAAAGGAAGTGCGTCTTTTTTATTTTTATATTTATCTAATTTCAATATCAGGCTTGTTCTCAAAACTCATTTAAAATAGTTCATAGTGACGTAATTATGTAGGCGAATATAATGCCTATTTAAACTGAAATACTTTGAATAATACATACTGAATATTTTTTTTAACATTTTTTTTATTTTACTCACATAATATCGATCGAAAGAAAGGTAATAGTTTATAACTATTTCAGTTTACTCTAAGAATGAATTTTGATAATTTTTTTTGTTTTTATCTTGATATGATTTGTTACTGAGATATAAATATAATACTAAACAAAAATCAGAATTCAGGAACATTTCCGTAAAGATCGAATATATTTTTTGTAGAATTTTGTTTTGATCTTTTTAAGAAGAATCTTTGTCAGTGAATTGATTAAAGTAAGTTTTCAGTTATTTAGTAGAATGAAATAAATATCATGATTGTAATCGATCGTTCTATATGAGTTATAATCAGCTTCTTTACAACAAACTCTTTATATTTTTTTCTTTTTTCCACAAAAATAAATAGTCTTCCGATAGTTAGAAAATTCCAAAAGCACTTCAGAAACCAATATCAAGAAATTTGTTTAGAGATGATTCGATACGATTTTATCTCTCTATTATACTCCCATCAAAAACTATTCGCAAAAATAGTCATTAGTAATCATGTTAACCATTATATGTGTGTGAAAAATTAAACTTATTTCAATTTTATTATCATGACATCTGTTGAAATATAAGCCATTCTTTTCACCATGAGATTATATAGCAAGAATGCTCTTTAAAGATTTTTACAAGGAATTATACGACGAGTACTACTACTTTTGCTATCACCTATGTACAGTTAAATATATATATCCTATCATTTAGTAGATTCCAACAAAAGATTCAAATATAAATCATAGAAATTATTGGAAAAAAAAGAACTGTTTTATTGTTTTTATATGTAATCAATTTTCATTCTAGCGATCAGTTGTATTAGCTTTAAAAAATTTTCATACTGAAACGTGCCTAGAACAAAAGGCTGAAATACTATCGCGATATCTGTAATAATAAAAGAAGAAAATATTAAAAAAAACAATTGAATGACTTTTTCATTAAGCTCGTTCATGTTTTTTAACAGAATAGTTTGATTAAATTGATCAGCTATATATATGACATTGTTTTATGTTTGAACATAATCAAAGACACAAAAATTTAAAACTCATTTTAGATTGTGATACTTAGTATATCATTTAGATGCTTATTTAAGTTCTGTAATATTTACAAATCAATATTTATTTAGTTTTGCTTATCTTCCGGTGACTATGATTCCTCGCCGTATTAAAGAAATCTTCAAAAAATGCGTACAATTTCTAAAAGCTCTCAATTTATTTGCATCTATACCACCCTCAACCGATGAACATGACCTTCGAAATGAAATATTATCAACAAGATTATTCATTTTCTTATTGATTCTATGCTTAGTTATTCTTCTGATATATAATTCATTAATTTCCGTCATTAGAACAGATTTTCTTAAAAAACCTTCATTCCAAGAATATGGAAAACTATATTCAAAATATTCAAAAACACTCACATGTCCATGCAAAACAATCTTAATTAATTATACAGATATTCTTCATATTAACTATACACTACATCAAGTTTGTACAAGTACATTTGTAACTAAAGATTGGATTAATTATCTCACATATACAGATGAATCCAATAACACGTTGAATGGAGATGACTTTCGAAGCAATGGTAGATTTAAATTCCAAGCACTAGCTGCATTTTGTAAATTGGCTAATCGAACAGTTTCTGACAGCTTGGCTGAATTCCTATTAAATATGTATATTAGTACAACTGTAACACCTTTGGAATTATTTCAATCACAAATTCAAACGTTCATTTATCAATTCAATTCATCCATAATAAATAATTTTCTTCGTTCACTTGATCTCATACGAAGTACAACTCATACTAATGTCCTATTCTCTGCACTACGCACGAATTATGTCCCTTATCTACCATCTCCTTGCTATGCAATTTATTCGAAGTCATCAATGTATTCTGACTGCTACTGTTATTTGTCAGACAAATGTGTCATACCATCTTCGATTAAAAATTCTAATAACACGCCGTTGTTTGTTGTACCTGGCTTATATGATGGATGTTATATTGTCGAAGCACTTCTTCAGTCTACACTCGAATGTTTCTATAATCAAACATGTATTACTCAACTACAATCATATTATGAATCCAATTCAACAATAAATATCCGATCTTTGAATGCATCATCGAAAAGTAGATATTCTGTCCATTCAACAATTCAACACCTTCTTGATCAATTGATGATTGAAGAATGGAATCCAAATGATAAATACGAAAACTATTATAATGAATGTCAACCAATAGAATGTAGTTATAGTTATCCAACAAGAAATGGTATAATTTATATCATTACTGCATTGCTTGGACTTGTGGGTGGTTTGGTAACTGTTTTAAAAATTGTTGTTCCAAGCTTGGTGAAATTTATAAGAAGAAAAAAACAACCAGAAATATCAAGAAACAGTAAGATAATGTATATTTAATTCATAATTTCTGAGGATAAGTAAAACTTGTGAAATTAAATTGAATGCTTGACATCATTGCTTGTAGAATAAAGATAGATCGTGTTTGTAGCAAACAGTAAGCCGGAATGAATACTTTGAGAGCAGTAAATAGTTACATATAGGTTTTCCATAAAATCGATTTTACTCAGAATAAATGAGGGCTTCCTCTTAGTCCTTCTTTTCCTTATAGTCATCAAGACTTTCATAATCGAGTTCATTGAATATTTACCTTGAATTTCTCGTTCATACAATAAACGAATATACTTTCTAACCTTAAATAGAATTGATTAAAATAATATTTAAATTATAATTGAAGTTATATTTCTGTTCAATAAGCGTTTTTATTTTTAAATCAAATATTTAGTGTTCTTAGGTAAACTTGAGAGATGAAACTTGTGATAATATTTAACTATTATTCGTTACTATTAAATTTAAATTATAATTCAGTTATAGAACAGCTCTTCTTTTGATTCTATTAACAAAAATTTATAATATTTGATAATATCTCATAGATTGAATTTATACGAATATCATAATTTACAAACGATGGATCATATAATGTAATTATCGAGAATAAATTGAAACAATAAACATAACTTTTGAGATCAGCTACCATATTGTACTCTGTTATGTAATTGTGGCCAAAGAAGCATCAGTAGTATTCTTATATACAAATTGAAGGTGTGGGTGTATCACAAAGATTAAGACGAACACCCACACCCACCCTTTCTGTCTGTTTATGTTATAGTGCGTGCGATCAATCGTTTAATCATGCTGTTTCAATAGTCTACAAAAAAAATCACATAGATGCTATAGAAAACACTTATCCGATAAAATAAATGGTAGTTGTTTGTTGATTGTAATTTAAAATCTTCTTTAACCAGCAAACAAGGATACTCATGAAAATATCCGCTTGCAATAAATCTATTCAAAATATCTTCATCTCCATCCATAAGTTGTATAGAAATATATAAAATAAATTGATCCTCTTCAATTAAACTTAGCTCTATTCACAAAACTAGTTTTCTATCGATTCTATGCCTAACAAAGATACTTAGAAATAAAATACTTTTAGTGAATAACAAATAGTTTATTAAACTATCTCCAATCATAGACTCAATCAACAGAATCTTATCTATTTTAGATACTCCAATGAGTGAAAAGATTTCCAGTTTAATTCAGAAATTAAAAAGATTTCCTAAAACTTTCAATTTATTTCAATCTATACCACCAACAACTGATGAACATGATCTTCGAAATGAAATATTATCAACAAGATTATTCATTTTTCTATTACTATTATCCTTAGGGAATCTTCTTATATATAATTCATTAGGTTCTGCCATTAAAACAGATATTCTTGAAAAACCTTCATTTCAACAATATAAACAATTATATTCAGAATATCCTAAAACACTTACATGTCCATGCAAAACAATCTTAATTAATTATACAGACATTCTTCATATTAACTATACATTACATCAAGTATGCACAAGTATATTTGTAACTAAAGATTGGATTAATTATCTCACATATACAGATGAATCCAATACGGTATATGGTAATGACTTTCGAAGCAATGGTAGATTTACATTTCAAGCACTAGTTGTATTTTGTAAATTGGCTAATCGAACAGTCTCTGATAGCTTGACTGAATTCCTATTAAATATGTATATTAGTACAACTGTAACACCTTTGGAATTATTTCAATCACAAATTCAAACGTTCATTTATCAATTCAATTCATCCATAATAAATAATTTTCTTCGTACGCTCGATCTTATACGAAGTACAACTCATACTAATACCTTATACTCTGTAGCTAGAAATCAGTACTATTTTGTGTTATCGAATACAGGAACAATACTGTTGATACTACAAGATTATTCTGAATGTACTTGCCTTAAGTCAGCCAAATGTGTGATACCATCTTCGATTAAAAATTCTAATAACACGCCAGTGTTTGTTGTACCTGGTTTATATGATGGATGTTATATTGTCGAAGCACTTCTTCAGTCTACACTCGAATGTTTCTATAGTCAAACATGTATTACTCAACTACAATCACATTATAATTCTAATTCAACAATGAATATCAGACTTCTTGATATATCATCAAAAACTAAATATTTTGTGAATTCCACAGTTCAACACCTTCTTAATCAATTGATGATTGAAGAATGGAATCCAAATGATAAATACGAAAACTATTACAATAAATGTCAACCAATAGAATGTAGTTACAGTTATGAAACAAGAAACGGCATAGTTTATATCATTACTGCATTGCTTGGACTTGTGGGTGGTTTGGTAACTGTTTTAAAAATTGTTGTTCCAAGAATGGTAAAATTCATCAGAAGAAAAAAACAACCAGAAACACCAAGAAATGGTAAGAGATAGCAAAATATGGCTAATAGTGATTGAAGTGAAAAGTGGAACTGATTTTTTCAATAAGGTTTTTTTATACTTTTGTATAAGCGTCGTAAGATTATGAGAGCATGTAACAAAGTTTAAGAAATAATATTTTCAGAAAAATAAAAATGAAATTGGTTCTATTGAGTTTTCTCATAACAGACGCGATAGAACAATTGCAAATCAGTAAAATCCAGAGTCATCTAGAAGGCTTTACTAATTGCCCGAAATAGGCAAAGTCTGATTATGATTTGTTGGATATGTATTTCTATCCTCTCTATTCGATATACATATGCACGGGAATTCTCTGGAAATCTCATGTGGTATAATGGAATCTAATAGAATTTAATTTGGAGTTCAGCGAAATTATATCTAAACGTCTCATATGATATAGAAAGCAGTCCATTAGAATAGTGATGCAAATTCAATATCAGTTTTATGTTTTTTATTTAAGATACAAATACCAATGGGCGACTTTTATTATTATGGCAGAAAACAGCTCATTTTATTCGCACTCTCAACCTTTTCCCATCAATACCGCCTTCAATTAACGAACGTGATCTTCGAAATGAAATATTATCAACAAGATTATTCATTTTCTTATTAACTCTATGCTTAGTTATTCTTCTTATATATAATGCATTAGTTTCTGTTATTAGAACAGATTTTCTTAAAAAACCGTCACTTGAAGAATATGAACGATTATATGCAGAATATCCTCAAACACTTACATGTCCATGCAAAACAATCTTAATTAATTATACAGACATTCTTCATATTAACTATACATTACATCAAGTATGCACAAGTATATTTGTAACTGAAACTTGGTTGTCTCACGTCACTGTTACGGATGAGCAAAGGAATTATCTAAATCATAAAGACTTTCGAAATTCAGCCGATTCAATATTTCAAGCACTGACTGCATTTTGTAAATTGGCTAACCGAACAGTCGCTGATAGCTTGACTGAATTCTTATTAAATATGTATATTAGTACAACTGTTACATCATTAGAATTATTTCAATCACAAATTCGAACATTCATTCATCAATTCAATTCATCCATAATAGATAATTTTCGTCGTACGTTAGATCTCGTACAAAGTACAACTCATACTAATACCTTATTCTCTGCACTACGTACAAACTACAATTTTCATGTACTAAACGATACTGACGAACTTTATTTACAGCCACTCAATTACTCTGATTGTGACTGCAGTGTCTCAGCCACATGTGTCGAACGAATGTCAATCTTTTATTCTGAAACTAAAACGGTTTTATTGAATATATCTGGTTTATATACTGGATGTTATATTGTCGAAGCACTTCTTCAGTCTACACTCGAATTTTTTTATAGTCAAAAAAGTATTGCTATACTAAAAATACATTTTGGTATCCTTCCCGACTACAACATCAGATCTCTTAACGCATCATCGAAAAGTAGATATTCTGTTAATTCAACAATTCAACACCTTCTTGATCAATTGATGATTGAAGAATGGAATCTAAATGATAAATACGAAAACTATTACAATAAATGTCAACCAATAGAATGTAGTTACAGTTATGCAACAAGAAATGGTATAGTTTATATCATTACTGCATTGCTTGGACTTGTAGGTGGTTTGGTAACTGTTTTAAAAATTGTTGTTCCAAGAATGGTAAAACTTCTCGCATGGATTATTCAAAAACGGAGAAGAATTGTTGCGACAATAACAATTACTGATACTTAATTATTAAAATCTGTAGAAGGGTGTGGGTGTGGGTGTGGGTGTGGGTGGATCTGAGTGCATTCGCCCCATTTTTCAGCAATTATGACTAATTATATTCAATTAAATTCTATTGACATTTAAAATCAATCGTAGTATCAACAGTCCACTTTAATTGTAAAACATGTTAAATCTGGTTGAAAGATTTTCGGTACATTTTCTGTAAACATCAATTATAGAATAAAATAGAGAGCTCACTAGAAATATTTAAATAATCTATTGATTTTGTACCTCATATTTCAAGTATATGTTGAGATAACCATCGATGCAAGGACAGCTATATCTTTGATCATATGAGGATCTCCATTATTTCGGAAAAAACGCTATTCAGTTGCTAATCTTATAGTATGAATTAGAAAAAATGATTTAAATTTCATTGTTATCATACACGAACATAATCAGTCACCGGGAAGATCTATGAATATATCGTCTATTCATTAATACACTTTTCAATCGATCAGTCATCATAGTTCTTTTTCCATTACTAATTTTTAGCTGAAGAAGAAATTCTTTTCTCAAATCAAAATATTTTTGAATCATATAGAAAAACGATTGGATTATTATATATGGTCAATTTATATGACATTGTGTACTGACGATCGACGTCTTCTTAATACTGATCAATATCTTGACACAATATTATCACCAGTTATCCTTGAGGGTGTGGGTGGGTGTGGTAATGGGTGTGGGTGTGGGTGTGGGTGTGGGTGTGGGTGTGGGTGTGGGT